CTGAAGAAGGTGACTGCATTTTCTGTAATAGTTTGAGGTGCTTATTATCAAGGAATAAGTTGTTTCTACAGTGTGAGAAAACCATTTTTAAACAGCCAAAACATAAATAGAAAGTATCGTATTTTAGAATGCCAGAAAGACTAAAAGGAGTCCATGAAAGTCAAGACTGCATCTGTTCTGTCCATTTTAAAAGCTCTCGTACCCAGCAAAGTCTCTGGAACAAACCAGTTAAGAGTAATCGAATGGAAGAGTGCATGCAAGCCAATCTACCTGAAATTCTATCATTCTATGTTCTTACTTAGGGAGTAAGAGAATAATCTGAACCTTATATTGGAGGAACTCAGAATAGTGAATGTATTTGAGGTGACTTTGATAGCCTTAATGTACTGCTTTCATATTTCACATTAAAACTCGTAATTAAAAGGTCCATGAGACAATACCAGATATAACTAATTTTTATATCATACAAATAAATTGGAACTTTAATATAAAAGCTCACTTAAGTCCTGATTCCAATTCACCGTCTATTTTATAATTACACACACACATACACACACACACACACACAGCTAAACTGAGAAAATTGAATTTTCCTTTCTATCTCTATTTCTTCATTCTCCTCTGTGTATGTCTGGGAGTTGAAGAGTCAGGCTACAGAGAGTAAAACATAAGATGAGAACATAAAGTTTAATTTTACAGAATTATGGGAGAATGATAATTTAGACTCCTGATAACATGAGAAAATTTCCACTGTTTTGCATTATATAGGAAAATGTCTTGAATAGTATGTCAAAAAAGTATGAATAATCACACAAATGCATCGTAGCAAGGAATTTCATTTCCATTTTTATTGGACATATATACTAAATTCACTCACACTGTATAACAACTCATGCATCATTCTGAAGAGTTGTTATTTCCTTTACATCTGCCTTTTAAGTGGATGTGTTTTCCTTAAAATGACATTGATAGAGTATCAGCCACCTGTGAAGGCTGGAGGCTAGGGCCCTATCAGGGGCTGTAAACCACTCCTTGCAAAAACAAGAAAAACCTTAATTAAGCATCTCCAGCAATAGCAACTCTTCTTCATTTCTGCCGCAGAGACTATCTGCTTGGGAAACAACCAAGTTCCCTTGAGGCCCCAAGGAACTTTCCATTTGAAGTGTGGTATTCCCAAACTGATTCTTGCCACTCATTCCCCATATATATGAATTCACTCCAGAATCCAATCCCAGCACAAGCTCACTTAATAAGCATTCCCAAAGGAGGATGCTCCCTCTATGGTGCTCCCTGGAACTCAAGGGAAACCAAGAATGGCTCTGCCTTCCTTTCAAGTTGAGGGACAGCCAGATTGTCATCACCTTTAGATTGGAGAATGGGACTTCAAAACGCAGGTGGTTTTTGATTCAATATAAATACTTTTCCTAGTAAAGACTTCATTTAATTGAGTAGCTTCCGAGTTATAACCAAATCTCTTCTGACCTGAGGATAACAGAAGCCAGTCTACTAAGTGACAGGCCGTTGATGCAGCTGACAGGAGCAGCTGGGCTCTGAGGCAAATGATTTTCTCGCTGATATTCTGTAGGACAAATATTGAGTTGATAAATGGCAAAAATAAATAAAGCATTTTCACGTTTATGAAGATTAAACTATATAATTCGTTAATTTGGCCATTTTTGTAGTCCTCATGGTGTTTATATTAAAAATAACCTAAAAGAAAAAAAGTATATGCATATGTATATATACACACAGAAAACACCACACACACACACACACACACACGTGTCCATTTAAATGATTTTTCCTCTCCCTGACAAGACTAACAGCCAATTTGTGAAACAAGGAGGCAGTTTTCCACGCCACAAATCAGATGTCTAGCTTTAGCTTTGGGCAGATCCCTATATGTTTTGCTATAGGGTTAATGGCACTAAAGGACGTTTGGTTTAAAGGGTGTTTTAGTTTTTAAAACGAATCAAGTGCTACCCATTCCTCACTTAGCCCCTTCCCTAGAATTTCTTAACAAACCTAATAATGCAGAAGGTTAAACATGCTAAGCACAAGGACAAAAGTGAAAATGACATTCCATATGTACACTGCAGTCCAAAGCAAAGGGCTGGTATTACAAGGGGAGGTCTGGTTACAGGAGGCTGTCTGGCAACTGCAAGTACTTTTATCAAGGCACCCAGACAGTCACAGGTAGAAAACAAATCCCAAACTAAGAGGAATATGGACTTAAAAATTCACAAATTCAGATTCACAGAAAATTGGAAAACGGAATCAAAAGAGTTTTAACACACGCTAGGCTAAAAACCTGCATGACCTGCAGATATGTGGGTGATGAGTGTCCCAATTCTGGAGTATTGCTATTAGGCAAATAGTTAATTCTAATCCCTCTGGCTAAGGTTCGCATATAGAAGGCAGTATTACAGATTGATCAGGAAGGAAAAAAAAAACCCTATATCTTTAGGGAACAACATTAATTAGACTCCTAGGAACAAGTGCAAAAATCTCCAAATAAATATCTTGACTAGTTTCAATGAGAGTATTTGCATTTAAGACAAGAATTAATTATGTGCAGACTAAGTCAGATAACTGGCTCCTTAGAGGAAAAACATGTCCTTGGATAAAAAGGTAACAGCTGCTTCATCTTTTAAAATGTAGTTTTGTTTATTTGTTTTAGCTGCAAAGTAATTCAGTATTTTTTAGGAAATTCTCTTCTCCTAAATCACATGTTCTAAATACCAGACATAATGATAGCTTTACCATTTTGTTAACGAGATCTGTCAAAACCTTTAAAACTTTCTTACTGAGCAACAGTAGAACAAAACTTAAAAAAAAAAAGAAGGCAAGAAATGTTACTTTTTAACCCAAAGGAAGAATGTAACATTTTTGTTCAAATCTTTAGTAGTAATCAAGCTTTAAGACAGATAAAAGACTTGATTCTCATGACAAAAGTTACAAATCTGTATTTCTATCAAGGAAAACAAATCTTACTATATGGAAAAAATTCTAATAACTGGCTGAAATTTTATTGTGAAAAATTTTCCCTTATACAATATTTTAGCTTCTAAAGCCTAATGAATTTGTCTTTTGTTATTTAAAGCCTCATTTTTAATAAAATAATGTTTTGTCTTTATTTTTTTGGACTCATAACACTGTGATTCATGGAATTCTTGGAGAGTAGGATTTAACAGGACAATCAAGCAAGGCAACAAGAAACATCTTGACAAGGTACTGATACTCTAAAGAAGAAGTTCAGCTTCTTAAACCTTTATTTCATAAACACATTGAACAAATACATGGAAAAAGGCCATAGAAGGTCAGGCTGGGAGCAAAGAGTAAGATAACTAATAGAGACAAGGATTCTGCAAAATTTTGCACATTAACAGTAGAGAAAGATAGTATTGAGACTGGTCTGTTTTCCAAAGGAGAACATGGTTTAGCAGATCTAACCAATATGGAAGCCACTAGTTACATATGGCTAATTAAATCTACATTAATTGAAAACAAATATTCATTTTCTCAGTTGCACATTTCAAGTATGCGATAATCTACATGTGGTTTGTGGCTACTATTCTGGACAGAACAAACATAAAACATATCACTGAAGAAAGTGCCAATGGACAGTACAGAAATAGAACTTATCAATGCAGAAAGTGCTACTGGATACTGCTGGTTTAAAGGATAAAGAAAGGAGATGGAGAAAAGAGAAAGAGTGATCTAGGTTAGTAAGCCTAGAAAGCAGGCACAGTAATCCTCCTATCTTTAAATGACAAATATGAAAGAAATTAATATCCTAGTTCTTTTAAAACTAAAACGTGTAGAGTGTTGATTATGCTAGAAGGTTCTAAGTGCTTACATGTATCATCTTATTTAAACTTCGCAGAAACTGTAGGGCATAGGCAATATTATTATGCCCATCTTAGAGTAAGCGAGGCTTAGAGAAAGTTTGTGAGCTACCCAAGGGCACCCAGCAAATGCCTGGATTTCAAGCATCTCTCAAAAACCAAAGCTCTTAAGGCTGCCTGCAGGAACTCCATCTGGGTAAAGAGAGAGGTAATGTGCTCTAGATACTACCACCAGATGTGCGATTCCACAAGGGGTGGGCTACAGACTGAATGGAAATGGATGGCTCGTCTTTTTATTTTTTAAGAGATGGGGGTCTCACTCTGCTGCTCAGGCTGGAGGACAGTGGTGTAATCATAGCTCACCACTGCCTTAAACTCCTGGGCTCAACCGATCCTCCACCTCAGTCTCCCCAGTAGCTGGGACTATTGATGGGTGCTATCATGCTGGGCAAGGATGGCTCCTTCTTAATTCGCATTCTTTCTCCTCTTAGCCTTGTGTTTTCTTGATGTTGGCCATGACTATTTTCTATTAGCAATGGAACAGTATTGCTTTATAATTCCATTCTTGCCTCTACCCTCTACCTATTCACCTCTGAGCCTTCCAAGTCTAGCCCTTTCTTTCATGTTTCTCCTAACAGGTTATGACAATACCCCAAACCAGTTCAAAATCTCTCAAGCTCCTACCCGTAGAATAGAGTAGTCAACCACCAACATTCCTTCATACATACAGGTATTCATCTCTTAAATATCTTACTAATTGATGATTTCACGCTACAGAAAGAAATCCTCGTTGCGTAAAGAAAGGCATTTAATCTGCTAAAGGTTGAGCTGTGATAAAGACTATTTCCTCTCAGACACAAGTTTCGCTGGTCCGGGTGAAACCAAGCAGAGACTCTTCCCTTTAGTTTATGAGAGCTCAGCTTTTATGTAGTTGATGCCCCATTAAGTTGTTCAGAAAATTACAATTTATCATTTACAATTTACCAATAACGTCTCCAAAGCCTTTTCTGTTACTCTCATGGCTGACATCTTAACAACACCGTCCGAAGACGTGCCTGACGACACTTCTGGGAACCTCGCTGAGCAGTGAGAACAGCCACAGCTACAGAGGCAAAAAAGGAGTGAGCGCTGCTGGATCCTCCCATGCCTTACCTCCGGGGTGAGCCGTCGTCGTGCGGCTGGATGATGACCACCTTCACAGTCACAGACGTCCGGAGTAGGTCAATCATCTGCTCGTGGGTCAGCGTGGCCACAGCTACTTTGCAGATCTCCACTAGGCGACTCCCTTGGCGTAGGCCGGCCTTCCAGGCAAAGCCAAAAGGCTCGACATCTGCGACGATGCCTTCGAAATTCACGTGGAAGCCGAGCTGCCCCAGCCCGTTCCTTCTCAGGGTCATTTCCACAGTCTCGCAGCCTCTCGTCACTATCTAAGGGGGAAGGAGACCATCAGAGATGCCTGTCCTGCCCATGCTGCCACGGGGCCCTTTCAGGGTGTATATACAAGTTCCACTCCGGCCCCTTTCACTGGCCTTCACAGCCTAGAAGGCACCCGCTTTTCTCTACCTTTCCCTTAAACCGTCCGGGTGACAAGACAAGAACGCACTTAAGGCCAGAGCTCATCACAATCTTGGCATCAAGTGCAAAAAATAAAAATAAAAGCACAACAATGGTTTCATTCTTTGAAGACACATCTATTCCTAATACAAGTATCTTGTTTTTTCTTAAATGCTTCTGACCCAGACTTTGAGAGCATCAGATGGGCTCTGATAATTCCCTCCCCTCCTTGTAGTGGGGACACAGAGAGGCTGTGACACCAAGCAAGTAGCAGATGTATTTGTGCAGGCTGGACTCAGCGGGCTAATGCTCCCAGGATGAGCCCCCCCCCCCGCCCGGGGAAGGAGGAGAGCGGACTTATACCTTAGTTTCAGTAAGGGAGGGGGGTCGGGTTGAGTGATGACCCATTTTCTTTGGAGTTTACAAGGTGGTACTAAGCAAAATTAGATTTCTCAAAGAACAAATGGTCTCCAGGAAATGCATAGCAAGCAGGGTTGTAAACTGATAACTTCAAAAAGAGAGGATTTGGGTAAGTTTGTGAATTGGTTGCTCTTTTGCATTTCCAGGAAAGCTGTCAGTCTTTGGCTATTTGGTTTTCTCAAGCAAAACCAGTCTAGTGGGTTTTCAGAGCTTGCCGATTGATTTTCAAAAGGAATACTTTTAACTGCCATCAGCCTCTTTCTGCCACATCCTTTCTTATGTCAGTGGACTTGGTTCTTATGTGTATTTTTTTGTTCTACAAAAATTATAGCAATGGACAAAAATGTAAAGACCATTACAAGTTTCAACCACCAAGCACTAAAACCTATTAGAGTCCCCTCCTAGGTTCAGAAGGGCAACAGCAGGAAGTCAGAGAGTTAAAAAAAAAAAACTCTCTGTGCACCAGCCCTATGGATGGACCACGGAGGTCCTGCTCTGTCCCCTTGGGTCCTTTTCTGGGGACTGACTACCCAGGCTCACCTGGTTGGTGAGGATGGTTTAGATTGGGGGGGGGGGGCAAGAGAGCCAGATTCCTGGGCTGCTAACCAGAAAAGTGTGTGGGATGGCACTCTGAGAGGCAGAGAGACCCTATGTGCCCACTGGCTGTCTCTCCTCCATCGAACCTTGAGTAGTGGAAGCCCCTGTGCATATATCTTCCCCAAGAATGAGAGCCTACAGCAGTACTATAAAAAGGAACATGAAAGAAGGTGGTTTGCAACTCACTTGGTGCACGAAAGCACCAGTAAAACATGCCCAAAAGCGCTTACTAAGCGGAGTTTACCTGCAACGAAACAAAACCACAGGCTCATTAAATATCATTTGAATGACTAAGACATCACTTATTTGTGGGAAATTTCGAGTCAGGAGGTATCCACTCTATCCCCCAAGGGTGAGGGGCAATGCGTGAAGTTTCAGTTTAATGAATGCTCCATTTCCACGAAACATGCTCTGAATATACAGATACTTATTTAATAAGACCTATGACAGTAAGTACAGCTGTGGGACTGAGGCTGGCTTGGGTATCACCACTGTGTCTGATGTTTCCATGGTTACTACAAGTGCACACAATGCCAATTAGCTTCTCCTAGACAGCTGTGACAGTCTGAGGCTCAGCAAAATGGGTAAAAGAAACTGCTGGTTTAAGTTAGTGGTAAAGTTTTGAAAGACTGAAGTTTCCAAAGTTATTAACCAAATTAATTTAAAACTGTTGAAAAAGTACTTCTGTAATATGTACAACATAAATAAAATTTTCCTTCACTTTTCAACTTGGTTCCAAGCAATCGTACCAAAAGACTACATATAACAGGTGCCCTGTCTTCTTTCAAATATTCATGCAATTGTCAGGTGAAACTTAATATCCGTATGTTAGACTGAAGAAGGCCAAGACTTTCCAGAGTCTTCCAAGCTCTGTCTTTTAAGCTTATTTCCTCCAACTGCCTGCTAACTTCCCCTACTTCGGCTTTTTATTGTTTCTTTATCTCCTGTGTTCCTCACTTCTTTTTTTTTTTTGAGTTGGAGTCTCACTCCGTCGCCCAGACTGGAGTGCAGTGGCCGCTCCCGGCCACTGCAGCCTCGTCTCCGGCGATCCTTCCGCCTCAGCCTTCCAAGTAGCTGGAACTACAGGCGCACGCTACCACACCCAGCTAATTTTTTGATTTATGATAGAGATGAAGTCTCACCAAGTTGCCCAGGCGGGTCTCGAACCCACAGGCTCAGGCAATCCACTCACCTCGGCCTCCCAAAGGCGTGGGATTATAGTTTCAACTCACTTCTTAACATCCCCTAAAGGCTAAAGGACCACGTTCTCCATTTATTGGGAGTTCCTCGCAATTATCCATGAAAATAGTTGCCTCCTAGCCATATGCCCGGGACTGGCTCCATAATTTGTAGGGTTCAGTGCAAAATAAAAATGCAGGGCCCCTTACTCAAAAATTATTTAAAATTTCAGGATGGTGATAGACAGCACTCAACCAAGCACGGACCCTTCTGAGAGCAGGTCCCTGTGTGACCGCACAGGCTATACAACCATACAGCTGGCCCTGGAGGGATAAGCTTGTATTTTGCATTCTTTTTCCATGTCTTTATCTACATAAACAGGCACCTTTAGTTCCACATGTCATCACCTGGGAATGGACACTGAATCTACCATCTTCCGAAAAGGCATGCATTCCCAGCATCTCTATAACTGGATCCTCTTCTTTTCCCCGTTTCTGTTGCCCACCACCCTGAACCAACCCTTAGACTCAATGTCCTCCACAGTCTTAGGACTGGCTTGTTTCCAACAACCCATGTCGCAAGTTATCCTGGACACAAAACGTATTTCCTAAAACACATTCCTGACATGAGGCACCTCAGTCACATTAGCAATTCGTTTTGCTAGGAAAATGGTAGGATGGGGTCCAGGGGATAGTGAATGGAAACAGCCCATGTTTAAATCCACAGAAAGTGCATTTTGGTGGCAGATGAAGTCGCATTTGTTTGTGCTGCATTTTCAGGAGCACAGATTGTGATGAGTCAGTGGATATGCTAAAAAGTATTCGCAATTACCAAAAGTACAGTGTATCTAGAGACACATAAGCATAATACAAGAGTCAATTTTCCATGCATATAAACTAATCACATATTTAATCATCTTCAAACTCATATCTAGGTTTGCACACATACACCTGATAATACTGTTGAACACACTGAGGCGCTTTACTGTAAACAGTGTTTACACATAATGAAATTATTTTTCAAAGGCTAGCAGACACGGATCTGATTTTATCCTCTCTTATACATGGTCTCTAATAACACAAGGGATAAAATTTATATTTGATAAGAGAAAAGGGGGCAATAAATGGATATAATTTCTCCTTTTTTTCATGATAACTGACTAAATATTTTCTAATTAAAAAAAAAAAAAACATACCCCACTTGAGGGAAGATCTACACATGACAAATGCTACTGTCAAAGCCTGTTTTCATCTTATACTACCAAAAACAATAAAAATGGAAAACATTTTGATTTATTCTTATTATTCTATTGTATATACTCAAACTAAAATTTGAACCTTGCTTCATTAAAATTGGGAGCAGAAATATGACCATTAAACACCATGAACATAATACAGCATTAAAGAAAATGCTCATTTTACTGGATCACCTTTTAAAAATCTAAAGTTTTATGGGAGTAAAGTTTTAAGAGATTCCAGGGACTTTAGTACAGAACTAAAAAGTCACATTTTAAAAAATCTCTTTTAAGACATTTTTTTTCAAATCTTTTTAACCCACTGTGTAATTCTTTAAAACCTCCTTAAGAAACTGTGGCATAAAAATTAAAATCTATTTAACATTACAAATTAAACAAAAATGTCTGCTGTGTAAGCATGCACAGAACTGAAGCTGCAAATAGGACTCGCCATTCATATAATCAACAGCAAGTCTGTGTATATTAATTACCCACTGGGAAGGGATGCCACATCAGCTCCCACAGACAGACACAGGACCTAGAAATTGTTTCTCTTTCATATCCCATAAAAATATACCTCAGTGTTCTCTTTTGAAAGTTGGCTTAACTTTTCTTTTCCCATTGATTTATAATGGATGCTTCTCCACCATTCATGTGTTCGGCAATTCTTCCGAAGGACCTCGCATTTGAAATTAAGCTGAGTATCCATAAGAAATAGTAATTCATGCCTTAATTGCTATCATCATGGTGGGATTTCCCTAGTGAAAGCTCCTCTAAATCTAAATTAAAGACACAAAAATGCTGAAAAATATACATGTACTTACTACTAATCGTTGAACAACTTCTCTTATATCTTCAGCACAGTTGTCTATTGAGGACAGAAGGATACATTCTCCTCTTTCATAAAATACTTTGATACTCATTAATCCAGATGTCCACCCAATAACATCCCTGCAGGAACAGTTAAACACAACATTCTTGGAATCTTTTTCGATCAACATTATGAACTCATTGGAAATCCCAAGGAGACATTCAATGTCAGCAGACTGGCCAAAGTCCCGTGCTATCACATGCCACATGATTGCTCCAATGCTAAACAAATGGGCATCCTTCCTCGGCTTCACTTTCTCCTTCTTCTTGGCGCCCAGTGTAATGAAGCTGAACTTCACAGAGGTATCCACGGTGGCCGTTGTGACGAAGTTCTCAGCCAGGTCCTTCAAGTACTCTTGCCTCGTTCGAGTGGCCATTGCTCGAAACTTTTCTGATTTATGGGCCGCATTTTCTGCATTGATTACTTTGGCTAAAAGGAAGTCCCGAAACACTGCTGACTTTGGAAAAGTTACGCCTTTGGGGATTGGTGGACCAAATGGTGGTACATCTTTTGATCTGGAAACTCCAACACTGGGAGAGGGAAAAAAAAAAGAAAGAAAACAAGATGAATGATAATACCATCATATTTATCTTCTGAAATTTGGCATAACCCACACTTCCAACTTAACTGGTCTATTTTGCAGGTTCTTGTTCTAATTTCTGGATATCATGGTTCTTTGTTGTTTGTTTAAGTAAAATGTTTTAAACTTAGTAGACAAGGGGTGTTACGGGCTGAATTGCTGTACCTTCCGAAATCAGCATGTTGAGATGATAACCCTCAATACCTGGGGATTGTGCCTGTATCTGGAGATAGAACCTTTAAAGAGGTGATTAAGTTAAATGAGGTCATTACCCTAATCCAACTGACTGCTTTCCTTATAGAAAGAGGAGATTAGGACACACAAAAAGATGCCAGGAACACATGCACACAGAGGGAAGACCATGTGAGACACAGGGAGAAGACAGCTATCTGCAAGTCAAGGAAAGAAGCCTCCGGAGACACCAACCTGCCAGCCCCTTGATCTTGGACTTCTAGGCTCCAGAACTATGAGAAAATAAATGTCTGTTTAAGCCAGCCAAGTCTGTGGTTTTGAATGGCAGTGTTAGCACACTAATACGGGGGTAATGGATCCACAGTGTTTGGGATGGGCAGTTTTAGATGGCAGCAGGTTGGTGCTCTGTACCCCGTGGGGCCGGTTATCACAGACACACTTCCAACCAAAGCGAGTTTAGACCCAGTTTCCTGAGTGGGATCCCAATAACATGGGACAGAATCATACTTACATACATACATACTAAGTATGCATGGGACAGAATCATACTTACAAGGATAAAATTTTTAAGTGCCAACTTTTTAAAGAAAATGCTTGCCTCACTTGATGACCTTTCAAAAATCTACAGTTTTATGGGAGTGAAGTTTTGAGATTCAATGGACTGAAAAGATCAAATGTAGAGTGATAACAAGCATTTACTGTATCAAAACTAACAATGCTCCTTGACACCAGAGAGTTGCTTTAGTTGTCTCCAACCCTTTCCTGAGTAAGACAAACTATAGAGTGAATTAATTAACAGAGGAAGGTCGAAGATAAGTAAATGAATGAATCCCACAACATCTAGAGCACATGCTCTCCAGTGACTGAGTAGCCCCTACAGACCAAGAATTTGTACCACTCCCACATTTGCCCGAGCAGACACTACCGACTTCGGGGTAAAGAAAGAAAGTGCTCTTTCACCACAAATTTCCTCACTCCCCAAAATCCTGAAAATGGTGAAATAAGGAATGAAAACATTCTGTCCAATTTGTTCTGTTAGATGCAAACTCCTCTTCTGAAATGTGGTTGGTTAGACTTTTAAAAGATCACAGGCAGCCGGGCTCGGTGGCTCAGCCTGTAATCCCACGCCTTTGGGAGGCTGAGGTGAGTAGACTGCCTGAGTCCGCGGGTTCGAGACCCGCCTGGGCAGCGAGACCTCATCTCTACAATAAATCAAAAAATCAGCCGGGCGTGGTAGCGCGTGCCTGTAATTCCGGCTACTCGGAAGGCTAAGGCGGAAGGATCACCGGAGCCCAGCGGGTCGAGGCTGCGGTGGCCGGGAGCAGTCGCTGCACTCCAATCTGGGCGACCGAGTGAGACTCCCACTCAAAAAAAAAAAACAACAAAATTCAGGCTGAAGTGAGGTGCTTCATGGAGCTCTGGGGGTGCCGCCTCACTTCCCCTCAGTTCCAGCAGAGCCAGCATGAGTTCTCCAGCACCCGCTGCATCCTCTGCCAGGCGTGAGCATGCTCCTTTGCTCAGGCAGGTGCACTCAACAGGCTGCAGAGTTGTCATTAGAAGAGGTGCTCTCAACCCCATAGCCCCTTTGGGTGGCAATAAGGCCTAAGGAACTGCACTACCTGGTACTGTGTGTCTTTGTCAGTAAGAGTGCTCCGCCCACCACTCAACACCCACACCAAGCTTGTGAGAAAAACAGCATTCACAAGAGCTCTTGGGGGCTGTGTGAGAACCATCTAGTCTCTAAAATGCATCTTCAGATTAAGACACGGCAGTTTTAAAAAAACAGTAGAGCTGAACCATATTTTCTCATTTCCTTGGAAATTATTTTAATAAATTAGTCACTGGCATGTTTCGAGGAGTGCTCTTATGAGACTAATAGAACATCTTTCTGGAAAATGTGGGCACTCCTACCTTATTCCATGTGATGGAGTTAAGTATAGCTCCGTAAAATACTAGGGAATTGATTTGACAACAGGATTCCTGAAAATTATTATTGATTCTTTGAGAAATACTAGTGATGGTTTAAAGCAAGACCAATGAAGCTGATGAGGCACTTCCAAAATTTTGAGGCACTCTACTTTGAATCTCATTTGTAAATGTTAATCTCTGAATGATTTGCATAAGTTATATTGTATCAGAGAAAAAGTAATACAACGAACTTTGTTTATATGCTAGATTTACATTGGTTTCAAAAATATTCCTTTTCCAGTAATTTAACTAAAACCCAAAACATAAAAGAAATAACAATAGATGCCATTTATTTTTAAGATTTTTTTAATGCTAATGAACCACCTTAAGATAAAGTAGCTTAAAATACTTGATATGACCTAAAAATAATAGTCAATAGAGTAACACCAAGTATAATAAAGCCCTAGGCTTAAGTTTCCAATCCAGAAGCAAGTTCAGTTTGATTATTCTTGCTAATTATCATTCACTGAGGGAAAACCCAGGAAAAAAGCCAACTTACCACATTTGTATCAATATTACTGATTTTGAGCACAACATTTATACAGAAGAAATACTATATTTCTTCAAATATAATTTTTTAAAAAAGTAGTTCTGAGCATTTTGGCCAGTCGTCTAAAACCCAGATGTGTATGAGAATGAGCATGAGAGGACACATGCAGAGTTAGGGTCGATTCCAGGTCTATTCCATGAGAACATACACCACGATGGGCTACAGACTTGCTATGTTTAACAAGCTGACTAGGAGGCAAAAATTCAGGCTAAGAACTACTGATTTTGAACCAAAGACTCTGTTCTTCTAAGATGGGTTGGGCCATCAGGTGTTTCTTGCCCACAGGAGGCAAGCTCTGCAGTCTTTGTGGGTTCACCACTCTTTCGTAATGAATATTTATGCCCCCAATTTAGGCCCAGTGGGCAGCTGAACCGGCAACTACTGGTTTGAGATTATAAAGGAAAATAATCTTCGAAGAATGCTAAGAACGCTAGTAGGTATTCTGTATAATTTAAGCTACTTATTCCTCATAACCACATTTTGAAGTGGGTACTGTCATCCTCAATTTTAAGAGAAGGAATTGAAGACGAAGAGAAACGACATAACTCACAAAGCCCCATGATAAACAGTCAAGCTAGACTCAAGCTCAGGTCCAAACGCCACTTACCAATACCTCTCATGGTACAATCGTTCAGTTGTAGCTGTTTTCTAAGACAGAATCCTAAGCAAGGGTAAAAACTAAAAGCAGCCCTCATCAGAATCAGTCTTGAGATTCCAACGCACACACGTGACCTTTTGAAGTCACCAAAGAAGCACCAACTCCTGGTTTCAGCGGCCCTGTGGTGATGAGTTTTTCTAAGATCTTTGATGTGAAGAAGTACTTCTCTGCCACAATACTGACTTCACCTGAAGAGAACTTAGATGGACACTTCATCTGACTCAGAGGCTGACATCAAGTAAACTAATGGTTTTGGCAGGGGCTAGATGAAGTTTTTAAGGGGAAAACAGAGGAAATGTATCATCTACCATTTTACACTGCTAGTCATTTAACTGTTTCAAGGGGCAGGATGGGAAGAAGGCAATTATTTCTTACAAAAAGTGGCAATGTGATTAAAAATGTATGAGGTTAGAAATAATAATCAGGAAACAAAGGTGTTTTGAGAAAAGATGTTCTGCCCAAATAAACCTGGGAGAATGAGAAAGCAGGGATTACTGACTCACCTATAACACACATTTTCGGTACATGGATTATGCACTCTGACTATGACAAAGACATGCTGAAAGTGAGACCGGATGCTTTTTGGAGTAAATGGAAGTGCCCCAGGCTCTTGGAAGACGACGGTGACGATGTCATTTCCTATGTGCCTTTTTCTCAGAAGCTGTGGTCAAGAAAGTGAATACACACACAGAGTTATAATTTTTTCTTTAGAACAAAATATATACATATATACAATTCACTCATCTTTCACGAGTGACTTAAAAAAGCAGAGCCATGATCTGGAAGCCAGATCTCCTAAACGAGGCACAGAAAAAGTAAAATGGGCTTTGTCCAAAAGACCTATGGAAAGAACAATGTGAATATTTATCTCTTTTACTTTAAAATTCAACTTGCAATCTCTGTCCTTTTGTCTTTATCCAGTTTCCTCTTTCTTTATACCTAAAATAAATAGCACATTAGAGCTCACAACACTGAAGTCCAAGAGAGGGTACAGACTTGCTGAAAAATCCTATGCTATTACACTGGAAGACCTTAGCACGTATCCTGCTCTCCTGTGGTAACATGCATTGCATTTCTGCAACAAACACAAAGCACTGTCACTTTGGTGGGTAATAATTCATACTAACTGAGGCTTGGCCTTTTAAATGTAATTCAGACACACAGAATTCCATTGGATTAATAACCAGAACACCCAACAGTTTGTATTCTTACAAATGGACATCTGGCAGGACATAAGGAAGCCCAGAACAGTTACTATTTCAATACCACCTTTACTTTTGCTCTTTCTTTTTGTGACAAGGATGCCCCCTCCACCTCAAATTCCTCCTAGATCTCTTAGATGAGATCTCACTTCATCTGAAAGAAATTTCCCATTCAAGACTGCCTTGGTGCTTCCACACATACTCCCAGGCCTATTTCTATTGGACGAGTTGCTGTACTGTTTTCTAACGCTTGGTTTACTACTGCTGCCTCAGGTCAAAACCTTCATGAGAACAGAGACCTGTCTCACTGACTTTTGGTCTCCTTTTCTAAGGATATGACAAGCAGAGTAGGCACCCAATACGCACCTGCTAAATAAATAAATGAATGGTACAAATACACATTTATTGACACAGAACTCTGTACATTAAAATTGTGACCACCGCTTTCCTATGAACACATGCCAATAAATCCACATACAAGGCACTGTGTAAGTTTATGTAAGTGAAGGCATGGATCTGTGCTCTAAAAGTTGTGATCTTCAGTTTTAATAAGTAAAACAATCCTTACATGTGCTGGTGATGTCACTGCAAGAGTGGGACCATCTCAAGTAGTAAATCTCTCTTCACTAGCAGTAACAAAGACTACAATCTTGCCTTTAAATTTATTTGGCACCCACAGAGCATATTCCACTGTAAAGAGCTTTCAGTTCAACTTTTAAAGCCTTTTAAACCCAGATACAAAATGGATTTCATTGTCAGGTCTCTGACTCGTGATTTAGCATGACAAAAGGCCTGGGAAAGTGGGAATGAAATGTTCATCCTTTCAGAGTTCTACCCAGCCAGTTAAATTGCTGATTCATATGCTGGAAAATTATTCTTTAAATTCCCATGGCCAAAGTTATAGTTAAAGTTATAAACGCATAAATCATTTTACTGTCTGAATGAAGTTGTGAAAGATACATTAGTATACAATGATGCAGACTCAATGAACCACCTCATTTGAATCTGTAGTTTTTTTCAAAAGTTTGCTAGATATTTAAGTAAAATGTGCTATTTTAAATGAGCGTAAAAACTCAGTGAAAATTGTACTTAGCAAAGACATTCTTTCCTCTTTTCCCCGATAACAGAAATACGTGATTCTCGTATGTGTAATAAGACAAGAGAAAATCAAGAACAAATTGCTTAAAAATATGCCTAATATTGTGTTCAGTGCATTTGCAGAGTATAAAATACAGTAGCGCCCACTGTACTTTAAACACCTTTGAAACCCAGGACTTCTCAGACTGACAAATGGAAGATGGAGCTCACAACGGCCAAGATGTGAATTTGGACCTCCTCTTCTGAGTGACTGTCCTGTGCTGCTTCAGGATGGCCATCCTCCCAAGCCAACACACAGTGCAAGGAGGGACTCGTTAGGTAGTGCTTTCCGGCTGTTGTGACTCAACAGCAAATTGGACAGCTATTTTTTACCCAATTTCTCTTCCTCCTAAAGGAAGACATTAGGTCCAGTTCTATACATCACACAACAGGAATATTTAAAGCACAAGTTAAGGGAAACTTTAAGGCTGGTTACCTCGACAACATGCCAAACTCCTTTTATCTCTTTCGAAGCATATTCTTTTGCTTTGTAAAATAGACCAAAACATGTTTTTAAAAGTCTAGTTAATTTAACCAGTCACATAATGCACTGTGTAGAAAAAACATAAAGCTGTGGGGGTCAGGGGGATAAGGAGATTCACTAAGAAGAGTAAAATCCAAAGCTCTTTGAAGGAGAATAAAATAAGAAAAATGAACACTTTGCCCATTAACAGGATCCTCAAATTTGTCCAGAGACTCAAGAAAATAACTGGAAAGTTAACACAAATATTATTCACTTTTTGCTTTAAGATTTTGCCATACATGACGTAAGTAATTTATTAAACTTAAAGGCAAATGTTTTCTGTGGTATTTAGTTTAGGCTGTTTTTCGAACGGGTCAGTGAACTTCTATGTAATCAGAGTCTGAATGAAAGGGAGAGCAACCATAAACAAACATAGCCCAGCAAAACCTGGAGGTACTACTATTTGTCTTGGGAAATTACAGGAATGACATCTTCTAGGGCTAACTTCTTTCCTGGCATGTAAAGCTGATTAACACTTATTCAGTGATGCCAAGAGAACCTGTATCAGTGTTTTCAACTGCAACAGTGAGTTAACAAATACTGTACTAAATAAATATATTTACATAGTCAAGTCTACTAAATTTCCAACACTTGGTTCAAGCTGTGGAACAGGAATAAGCTCTTGTTATGACAATGTGAGTCTTCACCCAATTCCACGGCAAAAGTACACGGAAGCTACAGAAATAGCATTTATAGCAATACGTTTAGCATCAATTCCTTAAATAAATTTCAGGATTTCAGAAGACCTGTTTTAACTTGGTGCAAAAATAATACAGTTAGATAGAAGAATTAAGTTGTAGTATTTGACAGTACAGTAGGAGAATTATAGTTAACAGTAATTTACTGTACATTTCAAAATAGCTAGAAGAATTGCAATGTTCCCAACACGAAGATAAATGTTTGAGGTGATAAATATTCCCATTTATCCTGATTTGATCATTACACATTTTATACAGGTATTAAAATATCACATGTACCCCCAAAATATGGAAAACTACAGAGGGTGCCAAAAAATTGTATACACATTTTAAGAAGGAACAACAACAACAAAAAACTCTATTAACATTGCAATACTCAAAATATACCGACAACAAAAGATGAATACAAGTCACACTTAACTTCTGCAATGACAAGAGGCGCTGATTATGATGAACTCAAAGTAATACATAGATAACATCTCTTAAAGTATGCATACATTTTTTTGGCACCCCCCATATTACATATCAGGAAAAAAAATTTAAAAATTGAGAACTTTTAAAATAAAATAATAAAATTGAGAGAAGGAAAAATAAAACAAGCAAGAGAAAATAAACAAGTATTAGACAGCCACACTTGGCTCAAAAATGGGATAAGGGTGTAGTAGATTATACATACTAGCCTCTATGTATACAGGTTCCTTAGTTAAATTCTTTTTTTCATAACCCAGCAGGAAAGAACCAAAGCATTTTGCACCTAATTCTGGGTGAAGCAGGCTGCACAATGTGAAAGAGATCAGCCAGGATATGGTTCAGAAGCTCCTAAGAGTCAGTAGGAGAAAGCTCATCTGAAGCTGGAGAGAGAAGACAGACCTCCAGAGAGGGTCTTCAGAAAGAAACAAATCCCTATGCCACAATTACAAGTTCTCAATCCTAATCCTTGTGCTTGACTCTCAGTCCTGTCAATATGCAAAGGGCTGAAGATTCCTTTGATCTGATTGATCCTGTCCCACCCCTCTGACTTCATCACTTGCCCCTTACCTTCTAGATGGCTGCTTTGGTCCTACAAAACAACTTGTTCTTACCCAAGGTGCTTTGAACCTGCGAACCGCTTGTTTGCAAAGTTCTACTCCTTCACACAGAGGGTAGGCTGGGTAGGCTTCTCTTCTTGTAGACGTGTCCCAGTTTTGCACACATGTACGTGCACACACATGCAGATGAGTGCGCACACACGCTCTCCTATACTTTATACTCAATGAGTTTGCACCAGTGGTTAGAATTCTGCCTTGATTCTTAATAGATATTTAGAGTTTCTTATGGGAAAAACATGGAGAAAATGAATGCAGAAAAGTGCTCTAGATAAAAACAAAGGAAGGGTAACTTAAACACCTTACCACTTAAATATAAAAGGTCTACACTTATTGAAGGGGAAAGCCTTTCCTGTCTCCTTCAAGAAAGTGAATGTTCCTTAACTGTTCTTATCTCAGATCATCAAGTAGATCATATCAAATTTAATTAATGTTTCAAGGATTCATCATTCATACCAATCGCAAGAATAAATATACAAACCAGGTAAGCAATGTTGAATATTTTGTAAATTGAGAAATGAAAGAAGCTAAGAATTGGATTTTTAATGACTTGCTAACAAAATTAAGACAGGGACTGTGAAAACGTAAGTGTCTCTCTTCTGACACTGAGCAATATCAACTGTCATTCTAAGCAGCAATCTCTGTTATCGGTACAACTATACAATCCTACTCAGGGTCTGGAGTAAAGCTAATCATGGAAAGTGAAATGCTTTCTCCTTCCAAAATACTCTACAGTATTTTTATAGGTGAGCCTAGATGCAGTCAGAACCTGTTCGTATAGCACTTAATAAGGCAGGTTGCTCCAGTGTGTAAGTTGTTCCTTGGCAGCATCAGTTAGGGACTCAGGGAAGTACACAAACCCTTTAAGACGGGGGTTTATAATTGATCTCACTAACAGGAAGGAAGGGTTCCAGGCTTATTGCAAATGCAACAAGCCGTGCCACGGATACCTCTGTGGTGTCAAGTCTATTACTGGGATTAGGCAAGTATCCTTCAGTTGTAGTCTCAGAACCTAGGGCCTTCGTCCTGTTCATTGTGCACCTCCAGGGGACAGGGATATACCTCCCCACCAGAATAGTTCAAACTTGACACAAAAGAAAATGGTTACAGTGTACCAGGCACTGAGGGGACTCGGAAGGGAATACACCTCGTGTGAAGGAAAGGCTTGTCTGCCCAAGTGAAGTTTAAAGCCAAACTGTGATGTCCTTCCCACTGATGACATCCTGTAGTGATTTAACCATGACCTGTCTACAGGGCAAGCAGAAAGGAAGCACACAGAGGCAGTCCTGGGAAAAAAGGATGAACTGTCGACAGGCCAGGGAGACTTGTGGGTCTTAACTTCTGAAGAGAGAAAAATGCCCCAAGAGCAGGGTTCATCATTTCCTCGGTCTGGCTAGGTTTTCTTTATAAGGGTCGGAGATATTCCAAAAAGTAAACTCTTTTGTACTGTGGTAAACTCTTTAAGACTTTAAATACATCTCAGAATCTGCTTTCAGCTTGACTTATAACAAGAAAGAGCACAAGAAATTAGATCTGATGTGGATGAGTCTGGACCAGTTAAACAGTCACAAATATTGTGGCGCTAATGAGGCCAAGGTTATGGGCACAATTCATGTACAGGCCAGTTAACTTTGCTAAGTCCTGTGACCTCAAATTGCCCTCATGAACTCAGCTGGTCATTTCAGACATTTCTGCCCTTGGTATTAATACAATTTGTGGGCATGGGCGGGGTGGGTGAGAGAAACAGAAAAAGCCAATACAACCCATAACAAATTTGGAAAGTACAGGCCCCAAGACTGCAACTGGCATCACTTATCCACAAACAGAACATTCTGATGACAACTTGTGATTAGTAAAATATTTTTTTAAATGTCAAAGTAAAAATAATTTTCTGAAATGTTTGATAAATTTAGTCTCTCACTTTCTTAACAAATCAGGCCTTAGCTTTTCATAATAGATCTTTAAGACCGGGAACAGGAAAATAAAATGCAAATTAAGTCACTTAAAATACTGGTACTCTGTATCTGACGAATTGTAACAACAAACTTATTGAGCACATGCCATGCCTGGCACTATTTTAAGTGCTTTACATGTGTATTAATTCATCCAGTTCTCATAAACTGCCACTTAAGGTTCATCAATTCATTTATTACTCATTCAACAAGTGTTTATTGACTGTTTACTATGTTCTGAGTATTGTTCTAGGTGCACGGGACACCTTAGTGAGCCAAACAGACGCAAACCCCTGCTTTCAGGTCTAAAGGAAAGCAAAGCATAGAGAAGCTTGGCTCAGGTCACGAAGCTAGTGGCTGGTTCCAGAATTCCTGCTCTTTTCAACTCTGTTCTGCTGAAGCACTTTTTCAAGCTAGAAGAAGGAGGTCTCAAAGCAGGCCCTAGAATCACAGGATTCTAAGCCCGTGAGGGAGATATCATACACCATCTGGTCCAAGTGTGCTCATGGATGCCCTATCTTTCCACTTCCAAATCCACGGAAGGGATGTCTAACAGACAGTGCTCCTTCCCCCCGGGTCTGGTGCTACTCTAGAACCCTCCTCACTACAGTGCTCTAAGCAGCTCTCTGGCCAGCTAGTCCATGGCCTCATTATATCACTTTCAAATTTCTTGAAAGACTAAGACCTTTACCCAAGGCCACGGGGCAAGCAACTGACTGAGACAGGCTCAGAATGCAAGTTGCTGACTCATCCCTCACACACTTCACTTGTCCTCTGTACATTTTTTAGCATACAGATTTCCCAGTGAATCACACTTTGGATCATACCTAGCCATATACGGTAAGAGCAATAAAAAACCCAAAGTTTTTACCGTTTTCCACCCCTAACCTATCAGTGTAACTTAACACAATGCCATGAATTCTCATTTAAGATAAAAACAAAAAACATGAACAGAATAGGTTTTTAGGCTATGGCATTCGTGATGCATATCCTCAATTTACAGGAATTTTCTGTTTAATCTCCAGTTTGGGAAGTTTCACACACATCCATACACCTCTACCCACCTCCCTCACCTATATTTTCACTCTTTGCTCTCCTGATTTTTGTGTGTAGAATTTGTCAAGCACAGTTTCAGTGAAATAGTCAGGCACAGAGAACTCTAATGCCTACAGATTTTCATTTCCATACAATAAAAGGGAAGCCAGTCTTGAGTTCTGGCAATGGTAAAAAAAAAAAAAACAACACTTTGGAGGCTGCCACATGTGAAACACTGGGGCCAATTTGGTTTGCAGTCCAATGACTCAAATAATTAGGAAACTGGAAGGGCTTGGTGGTTTGAACACTCGATGACGGGGGTCAAAAGTCACTGGCTCTATTTCTGCTGAAGTACTGACAGATTTTCTTGGCCTGAATAAGCCCTATCGGTTTTCTGAGCAATAACTCTCCCACAGAGTTTAATTACTGAATGATTCTCAAGTATCTGCTGAACAACTGTACTGGTCTAAATTAAGCTTCTTAATATCCAGGCAATCTGTTTGGCATGATTCCAAATAAATTTTTAAGAGCTAACATATTTTAGGTTAAAACATACATAAATATATACATGTAACCCAGTGACTGTAAATCCATCTCAGAAAAAAACATGTAGCTGTGCAATCTAGAGATAGATTAATTAAAAGTAATCGGAAGAACTTTGCTTACTGGAAAACACTGTAGGAAATTCACGAAGGACACGAGACTGAGGTAAGTACTAAACAGAAAATGGCAAGAAAAATCTAGCTGGAAACTTCCACAAGAGAAGTGAAAAAAGGAGCTGGTGTCCCTAATGTGATGCATCCTGGAAATCAGGAGTTTGCTTTCTAATCCTAGCTGTAGGGTCAGAGGCTAGGGTGCTTCCTGAAACTACTAATAGGGAAGAGGCAGGTGGCTGGTTTCTTTTTTGGGAAAAAGAAAGCAGATTTGGACTAAATTCACAGAATTTAATGAGTATTTAAAAAAACAAAAGAGAAAAATATCTGAAACAATTAACTTTCATCCATCTGACAAACACTTATTGAGCAACTCCTATGTAGTCCTGGTGACTTAATATATTTAGAACAAAAGAATATCAGTTAAGTGACATCAGGAGAACCAAGTTTCCTAAGCGTGAAAACAGTCTTTGCCTTAACTCTGGATTTACCCAAATACAATTAAACTCCTAAAATTAAATTATGTCTTGAATCAGTTGTAAGAACCTAGTAAATTACAAATCTTCCTTTAAACAAATCTTCAGACACCAAAGTAATCAATATGATTTTTCAAGGAGTCTTGAGCTTAACACTGGTAGAGCTCACAAGATTCTACACAAGATGTGAAACACAGACTTTTCTACTACACAGAGCCTCTCTGACCCAAACACAGATCATTTTCTATTCCAGACAATTCTCCAAGTCCCCTTGAGCTCATTGAGTAGACATGGCATCTCCAAAATTTTTAGCACACAAAAAGCCATAATTTCTAGCACTCTTTGCAAAAGAACTTGTTCAGTTCATTTTACAGTTATCACAAAAGTAAATTATTTTATGATGATACATGTAAAAAGTTTTCAAAGGTTCTTAATTCTTAATGAGTGACTGTAGTCAAAGCATGATGCACACTATTTTGTTTTTCCTCTAAAAAGGTAATAAATTCAATTAGAACAATGAAGACTGCATGAAGAGAATAGTTGAAAATAGTACCAGTAACAATTACAAATAGTGTTTTCTAGAAATAAGTTATTTACCCACAAGTACAAACTTAAGTTACGACAATCAGTTGGCCTTTTTGTAGCTGACACAGGTTTCTCTTAAGATTTTGCCTATCAAACAATAACAGTGGATACAGAAGTGTTTCTAAGTTTTATAAGAAAAAACTGAAAAAAAATTCCCTTTAAATTCCAAATACTTCCAAATGATCAAAGAGTCAAAGACTATTAATGATCTTTAAGAAAAAGCTCCACTGACTGCTGGCAGATTCTAAGTGCATCAATATCATCAGTGGTCTGACCTCAGATTTCCTCATCAGGGTAAAAAGTGAGAACATGGGAGGACATACCTGCTGCCGGTTGCTGGGCATGTAGGGAAGGAGGGTAGACACATGGAACATAAGCTCGTAGTCTTTGTACGTGGTATAGAGAGAGTGAGTGCCTGTGGAATCAGCTGAAAACAAAGGTGAATTACAAGGCAAGTTAGGCAGCTCCAAAACTAGCATTTTAACACTAAAAGGTTATTACTGCACACGGCAATTCAATTGCAAAAAACACAGCCCACTATGCTCTACGCTACCAGCATCTAGGTGCTGTTCATCCAGTGCTCTCCAGGCACTGCTTCTACCACCTCTTGCCCCAGGGCTGTGAACAAGGGGCTCCTTTCTCCCCAGTGCTTTCTACTGAACCACTGTTTCTTTTCTTCCCTGTTCTTGCCCTCACAGTAGGGATTTAGGTCTTCCATCCAGGGCGAGGTGCTCTCACCACCAAGTACACTTGTGAGCAGCAGAGGAGAAGAAGCAAGCACAAGTCTGGGTGCAATTATCTGAAGGGGGCGGCTAGCCAGCAGATAGGTTTGCTGCATCCTTTTGTGTGTATGTGTATATTTACAGTTCATTCTTAGTTATACTTGGGCACTTGGTCTTCCAGAATGCAAAAAAAAGAATTAGGCTTGACTAAATATGGAAATGGGAACAAAATATGTTAAACATGTCCTCTGAATGCTGTAATTAATTTTTTCTCTTTTCAACAAGGAGTACAGTGATATATCAGATGAATTAAGAATATAGAAAATGAATGAGACCTCCTACAGTATGCACTGACACACATATTAAAAAATTATGACACTTGAAACCCTGTTAATCATAAAACTATTTATCTTTTGAATGAGTCTTTGCAAATTCAAAATCCATCTGTATTATCAGTGAGACTACCTCAGATTGAGAGCTTTGGACATCCAAGCTAATCCAGTGACTATAAAATATTTAAAGAGCTGGGCTCGGTGGCTCAGCCCGTAATCCCGTGCCTTCGGGAGGCTGAGGTGAGTGGACTGCCTGAGCCCGCGGGTTCGAGACCCGCCTGGGCAGCGAGACCTCATCTCTACAATAAATCAAAAAATCAGCCGGGCGTGGTAGCGCATGCCTGTAATTCCGGCTACTTGGAAGGATCGCCGGAGCCCAGCTGGTCGAGGCTGTGGTGGCCGGGAGTGGCCACTGCACTCTGGTGTGGGCGACCGAGTGAGACTCCAACTCAAAAAAAAAAAAAAAATTTAAAGTGATAATTCTGATGTGAAGTTCTGAATGGCTTTTTGCTGTGGATAAATGAGACAAAAAGATACACATAAAATGAGATGTAAATGGAATACAATTTTTCTTTCTCAATTCTTGATCTATAAATAGTCTTATTTTTCTACTTTTTAAACAAAAAAACAATGTTGTTCACCATCATTTGTTGGAAAAGTCTCTAAGTAGTTATTTTAAGTTCATCTTTTTTTAATCTAAAAATTTAAATTTTACTTTCTTTCTGAATCCAGTAGTATGCCTTTCTTTCCAATATTTATATCAAATTCAGAGACAGTTATGAAAACTCTTTGTATAAGAAAGAAAAAATACTCTATACAATTTAAAAATGCTCTGAAAAGGTACTCACAGAAGGCCATTTCATGAATGAGTACTTAAAGTATGTACATACTGATAACTTACCGATGTTCAGATAGGATACTGATCTAGTAAGCTGTATATCAAACAGTCCCAAAATAATAAAAAAAATTGTCCTTTTAACAATTCATTAAATACATATCTGTTATCTTTCACAGGACTTCTTAAAAGTAACAGTCCATTGACGTTCTCTTGGCTGGGAACCCTGACACAGAACACAGCTTTGGAGGTGAGCAAGCACGGTCCCGCGGGCAGGGCAAACGTGTCGTTAGGAACAGCCAGCTTGCTGATAACAAAACTGAGACTGGGTGATGAGACTGCCCAGTTCACACAAGGACTCTCACCACAACACTGATATTAGGATGGCTAGAATTCAGTAAGGTAAATGTTGACTGATACCAGACTTCAAATTCAGGAAACTGCAATGAAAGAAGAATTGATTTGGTGGGAAAAATACTTTTTAAAATGTGATAATTTGTCCATCCAAAGCTGCACTAAAAGATGAAATTCTAAAATAAAGTGTTCTCTAAGTTTTAATCTCAAACATCAGCATGGTAATGGAGAAGTTAAAATAATAAGGATTGTTCCGGGATTTGCTGCAAAAAGGGATACAGGCCATCCATTTTATCATTCTCTGCACCAAGCCCCCAAAAAGCCTGCCTATGGCTGGGATTCTGCACTTTGCATCTTGGTGGCTCAAATCTCTTCTGGTCCTCCTTTACTTTATGATCAAGAGAGAAACAACTCATTTTAGAGCAAAAAGGTTATCCCAGATGTTCTAGCCCAACACCCTGAACTTTCCTTGTGAAGAAGCTGAGACCCAGATTCTACCTAAGCCCTATAAGTAGGCAGAGTTAAAACTAGAACCTAATTCCTCCAAACTCTGGAAGGAAGATTTTTATTTGTTCCTAGAAAGACATAATTTTTATTTAACCATTGCATGATATTTAATTCTCAAATATCTCCTCTCTACTAAAGGAAAGTCATACTTGTTTGCATCTCACAGAATGCCTTGCTCAAAAAATTAAAATTTTTGCTCATAAAAATTACGAATTTTGATATGGTTGTACTTTGTCAGTGCAACCATATCAAAATCTAGTTCTTATGCTTTCATCTCCTTACTAAGGTGCCTAATATTACATTCATAACGTATCAAGGACATCTCCTAGGTCATAAAAATCCAGAGCTGATGTCAATTCTATAAGTGGGAAAATACTTGGATAATCTGCATTGTAGCTTTATGGACTACACAGATCAGAAGTTCTTAAAATGCTTTCTCAAGCCAACCCACTAAGACAGCAGGCACTTACAGGAACAAGAGTTCACATCATCTGTGGTTTTCTTGAGGACATCCTTAAGCATAGGAAAGCATATTAGCATTTCTGGGGGGTGAATGGTGGTTTGTAGGAAAGGGAGTTAAAAAGAAAAATCAGAAGTCTTATTGATATTTCTTAAAATATATGGATGCTCATATTTTGGGTACCATGAATTATTTCCTTTATCTTTACATGAGTCACAATCAATATACAACTAACGTAATAGTCCACCTGCAGTCCTGGCATGTGTAGGAGAAACACAGGGGCCCACAAAAGTGTTAACAGCATTGCAGTGTTTTGTGATCTATCCTGTAACTGCAACTTTCTTTTTTTTGAGTTGGAATCTCACTCTGTCACCCAGACTGGAGTGCAGTGACCGCTCCTGGCCACCGCAGCCTCGACCTGCTGGGCTCCGGCGATCCTTCCGCCTCCGCCTTCCAAGGAGCTGGAACTATAGGCGCGCGCTGCCACGCCCGGCTAATTTTAAAAAATTTATTGTAGAGATGAGGTCTTGCCAAGTTGCTTAGGTGGGTCTCGAGCCCGCGGGCTCAGGCAATCCACTCACCTCGGCCTCCCAAAGCGCAGGATTACAGGCTGAGCCACCAAGCAGGCTGTAACTGCAACTTTCGAAAACAGATCTAAAAACAGAACCAGCTATAGGCATCGCCCTTACCTAGATGAAATATTAATGATGGTCCCAAGTTGAATGGATGTTGGGAGCTGGGCTTGGGGACTACGGGGGAATAAAAGGCAGGGAGCCACTGGGCATCAGGCCACCTCGGTCCCATCCCAGCTCGGCTATACCTTGAGGTTCCCGTCCAGAAAACCCTTACTTTACCTCTGCTACTAGGAGATAGATGCTCTCTCAGATCCTCCAAGTTTAGAATCTACCTGCTTACACATTTTCATCAAAAGAGCAAGCACTTCAAAAGAAGCAAAATTTTTCTAAAATAAAATTTCCTCTGCCTGGTATTTTAGGTGCTAATAGCAACTAAGTAACAACACAAAGATACAACATATAGAATTTATGAGGACCATGAGAAATATTATGATCTAAATGAAGATACTGGACAGATTCCCATAGGAAGGTGTAAAGTCCATGTTTTGAATTGGCCAGTCAATAAGGTACCTTATAGCTAATATGTGGCCCACTCAAGGGGACTCAACTAAGGTCTCTGAAAAATCAGACTCATCGACCTTTAAATCACTGTTCCAACTCGCAGTTAACATCATGAATCAGAAATGAATAAAAGAAGTCCAATGGCATAGTATGAATGGATGAATGTGCTAATATTTTGTCTCCTAGAAAAGAATGCAGTGCTTGTCCTTGGTATATGGAAACAAGGGTATAATAGAAGAGATTAGGCTAAAAGAAAGAAGAAAATATTAAAAAATTCTTCATGAAACACTGGGGAATCTCTCTGCTGGTGTTACAAAGGAAAAAGAATTGACCTTTTGTGCTTATGATGTGAAGCACATGTACCTCTTGAGAAATGTGCTTCCTTTGTTCATCTGAGGAGATCTAAACTCGATCCTAAATAAGCTTGCTAGGCTGCTTCTGGGGTCAGGAACACGAGGGTATGTGATCACTCACTTAGATTTATGCGCATGCCTACCTTTGGAGAATTAAACTTCTGCACGCACACACACAAATATGATGCTTACTTTTATTGTCTAGCTGAGCTCGATATTTACTAAATCCTTTCAGCCGCACTCTCTGGCCCAGAAGATCAAGGAATTCTTCAAAAGCCGGTCCCGCCGTCTCATTGTTATACATCTCTTCCTCTGTGCTCTGGCCTGCTTTGCAATAAAGGATCCCAATCTTGTGCTGAAAGCTCAGCTGAAATGGGGAAGAAATAGAATTACTTGGCAAAGCGTATCAGACAAGTTAACTTTCAGTAAAATTAATACTACAGAAGCTGAGAATTCTGTTCTCAGGAAAAGCATGCCAGAACCATTCCTATCAGTGAATAAGCAAAACAGTAAGAAGCTATCACTGTATAGGATACTACAAATGCATAACAAATCCAGAAGCCCCCAAATTTGGCTGAATAATGTCAGAAACCCCAACAAATAAAACATAGAGCTATGGCCATGTGGGATTTACCAGGCTTCCAAAAAGGATAGACAGTCAAGGTCCAAGCATCTACTTAAAAATACAACTGCATAGTGGGAGTCTGCCTGGGGAAGGGCGGGCACACCTCATCAACAAGGGTACCTGCATAATAAACATCTGTATACCTAAGCCTGAAATGTACCCCACATCTTTAAGATAAAAAAATTAAAAGTTAAAAAAAATACAACTGCAGAAATACTTAATCTTATATACTTCATATAATATGTATCACTATTTTCCAAGTTGAAAAGAAAAAAAGGCCACAAATTGTTAAAAGTTTTCCCTCGCTAGTTCCTAATGCCTTTTTCTTCTTTAATTTATTTGAACATTCACAGAAATATGTAAAACTTTAAGAAAAAAAATCAAATTAAGGCCTAGTAAGGATAGAATCCCAATTGAAATTGTGATATATATATATAAATGTTTTCTTTCCATAAAAGTAACTCTGGTTGTATAATTACACTTTTCTTACGTTTTTTACTATCTTGGAAAGAAAACATCTGCTAAATATACAGCATACCATCAAGAATTTTAATAGCAATTAAAGAGTTCCTGCTGTAATCCTATCTCACAGTCAATGCTCTGTCATGTTGGAAGCTACAGGATCTCCTCCCAAGGCCAGAAGAAACTGGATCCATTTTCACAGCTTTCTTCTTATCCCCCAAAGAGGAACCACTTCTTACTCCTGCAATCAGAGCTCTTAATCTGACTACCAGCAATCTGAGCTTCAAAGACTGACAGATTATCAGACATCACGGATTCCCTAAAGACATCAATCCATAGCACTGTTCACTTTTATTATCTAGCTGCAAAATAGAGCCTTTAATCAAAATTCATAGCTGACTATAGCAGTAAAATAAGGCAAAATGATACTCATTTCCCTTGAGCAGCGAAGTGATGACAGAAGTCTCATCTATATTATTACCTAACGACTACATACGAGGCAAGAAAGGCACAAGACACCTGCCAGGGTGACCTCAGCAGACCTCATTGTATGCTGAATAAACTTGGAGTTGAGCTGGCAGTCAACCGCCAATAGATTCTGAGCACATTCTGATCTTGACCAAGCACTATGGGAGAATACAAAAGGAAGCATCACCTCTCTACAATCTGACCCTATATTGATAGATGGGCATTGTAGTTCATGGGCTCCCCAACTGCACAGTGAAGACAATATCTGTACCTTAGTGTGGGGCTTTGAGATGGTATATATAAGCTACTTCATAAAACTTAGTATTATTCATCTTACTGAACTAGTTCTTTAGTAGGACTGAGAAAAAAACATTTCCACTCATCCAGAGACTGAAGAATCAATGTTTCTGATTAACTCAATTATCCAAATAAATGAGACACTACGTTGACTGCAAACAGGCCATCATCTTCAAAAATTATTAAGTGCAATAAAAATAATTAATTGCACCTGAGTGACTTGGAAGACGCTTCAGGATCTTATAGTGCATCAGGGAAATTCTCATGATTAGCAATTATTACACCGATGCTGACGACATTAGCGACTATTGGAATCTGCATTAATACTACATAACACAGTCTCAAGATCACTACTTCACATCCGTGATACAATGCTAGCTGACTTCTCTTTCAGTGTTAGAAGAAGATTTCAGCTCTCCAGTGATTTGGTCCATGCTGGGATGAGAGTCCACCACTGATGCTGTAGAGGACCTGGGCTGCCACAGGTAACTCCAAAGTCTGTGCATCCCAGCACTCACGGCTTGCTTCCTCTGCACCCAGCAGAGATGGCCACACCATGATCCTCACTCTCAGAGGTCAGAGCTGACTGCTGTGCTATCAATTCTGCACCCCTCTTCCCCCGGTCACTGGACAAACCAGCCTGTGTCTAGATCCTAACTGTGAGAAGGATGTACATTTCCATTCAAGAAGCTCCTGGGCCCACGGGACTCAGTGGCCGTGGCTGAAATAGATTTCAAAGCCCCCAGGCATCTCATGACAGCTGCCAGACTCTGGCTCCAATGAAAACACCCTGTAACACACATGGCATGGCACAGCAGGGCACAAGTTTACTACTCACAAGTATTTGCCAAGTGAAACTTGAGAGAGAAATATCTCCGGTGAGTTAGAATAAAAAATCCTGGCTTGTTTACAACAAGGGCTGATTCCACTAAAATAATAATAAAATCAAACAGTCAGCGAAGAGACCTCTTACCTGAGTTTCTTTTAGAAATCTGAAAAACAATAAAAATGTAGTATCGACTCCTCCTCCTCCTGGGGTGTATCAGAAAGCTAGTAACATATTCTTTGGAACCATCATGATATAAAGGACAGACTCCTCATGTACTCAATTTCCTAATTCTCTCAGACCAAGGCTTTGTTTCTAACCCTGCTAAGCCTCAGGCTGAGCCTACCACTTTGCCCACTGCACTGAATCCTACCTTTATTTGGTCTGATATGAACTGTAGCCAGTCCCATAGCCTTGGGATAGAAGCAGGCTGGCACTTGGGTGTGAGCACTGCTGCAGACTAAAAATATTCGCTTGTCAAAAAAAAATCCCTGTGGTTTCAGTACTGACAGTTGGACATACATATACACTGCCCAGAAAGCAGAGGATCCAGTCAATGTCTCATCTTCTTCCTGGGACAGGATAACAACTGGCTGCTTAGTCCCAAGGCCAGAAGCTTTGTCATTATTGATAAGAAAATTAAAATTAAAATGAAGGAAAGAAAAACAAAGCCTCTGAATTGCCTTGAAAATAAATTTGAGTGTGCTGGGTAAACCCTTTCTACTTCATTCTCCTAAGTCAATCTACTTGCTCTAAGCAAGCAGTCTTATTTACTTAGACCTGCTTGACTTAGTTTGAAGCAAACCTGCTATGTAAGTTAGCATATATATCCAGGATAAATGGACAAGAGGAAAAGGAGCCATATTTGGCTGATTAACACATTAATCATTTTGCCAAGGGCGTCATTCTAAGATAGTGAGCTGTAATAATTCATCTAAATGATAGTTTTTTAAAAGGCAACCTATAATATTTTATGAATTTACCTGCTGTATAAATTAGGATAGTCTTTTTAAAAAGAAAAAATGAGATTTTTATAAGTGGAAAGATGAAATTACGTAGATAAAGTAAGAAAACCATCAAGCTCCTGCTTAATAATTATATTCCCTATGATTCTGCACGGCATTCAGTCTTCCTCCTCAAAACACCATACCAAACTCAAAGAGTAGAATGAATGTTCCCAACACCTACAAAATCCCCCACTTTAAAAACATGTCTTGTAGAGAGCAGATCTACTCAGTGACTATATGTCAAACCAGGATGGATTAAAATTACAGACTCCAAGAAAGC